TATCCATGGGAGGATTGTTCCACCAAAACTTGAATTCCAAAGCTGTCCAGAAGCTCTAATAAATGTAAGTGGTTTTCCTCATTTACTTTATCAAATTTCCTGAATATACTCCACCACTGGATTTTTTTCTGTTTCTGTTTTAGATACTCACCTGTTTGAAGCACAACTATCAACAAACTGTGTAAAACCAGAACATTATTATGCATTCATGCTTGGTTGTTTTTCCTTAATTTTCCATATGTTCCTGAAGTTTGCAGCAGTAAAAAAAGATTACGCACAACAGCATTTAGTATAATACTCACCTCCTGTCTTTAACAAAATTGTTACTTAACATCATTAAAATCTTGAATTCTGTCTTTACATTAACTGCCTTATAAATAATATTATTATAATAAAACACACTTCTCAATTTTTGTATGAGTGTTAATCTATGTAAAGTGCTCCGGATAAGAGCAGTATATAGGAACTATCAAATAAAGAAATTAAAGAATTGAGAGAAAAATAAAAAGCAAACAACATAGAAACCAACAAAATTTCACTGAAAATGTAGCACTTTGCCCTAGAATAGTAATCTGTTTTGCTTTGTTAAATATAGACCTATAACATCCAAATAAGTAAAACAAAAAACTTATAGTTTTTTTTTATTTTTTATAAGGTTTGTTTTTTGTTTGTTTGTTACAAAGACCCTGTGTGCCGAAACGCTGCAATGTCTGTTCATGTCCAATAAAGCTGCTTGACTCGATCGAGTGTCTGGACCATGTTTTTCTATTCACTATATAGAATTCAAATAGAGAGCAATTCAAGTCACCTAAAAAATTACATTCATAGCTCATAATGGCTAATGGGAAAGAGGTTGACTACTGACGGTGAAAGCTAATTCAGATCCCCACCTGGTCTCATTTTGACTATTATAGGTCTAATTCTACGCCAAAGTAGCATTAAGTATAATTTAGAAAGAAAAAGCTCTAGCCAATATAGTTGATGCAGTTTACTTGTTTGCTCTGTACATTTTATTGATCTGTTGCCATTTGAAGAGTGGCTATATTGTTTAATACAGGGCTTGCTAAAAGATTGATTGATATTATTGCTCTTTTTGTAGCCACCATTTTAACTTTATTACAGTTATCGATCTCATGTCTGGTCACTGGTTTAAGGGCACCAAGCTCTAAAATAGTAAAGGACAACAGTAAGAGAGTATATAAAGTGTCCTTAAATGGCAGAAAAGAAAAAAAAGTCAACCCATCAGTTTAGAGTGGCAAGCAAAACAGTACTCCCCATATCATTTAAATTAAATTAAGCCTTGCACAGTAAATTAAGTTCTCTCATGAAAACATAACTTTGGTTTTAAAAAAAAAATTCAAGCATCATTTTTATTCAGACAATTGCACATTATATTTTCCACTGTGAAGTTTGCATGAGCCATTATTATGTGACCACAGAGGGAAATGAAACATATTCATCAAAAATATGTTGATTTCCAATATTTTTGTAATAACGAAGGAGAATGGAAAATAGTGGAAGAAAATATGCTAATCACTGCATGCATGTTTCCAAATCTAATATTATTAGATATTATATTCTACATTCTGTGTCTAATAAGAAAGAAGTAATGGACACTATCAATCTGAATAAAGTATATATTATTTTTTAGCATAACAGAAGATTTGACTCATATAATGTCATTCAGTTCAGGATTTGCCCTTTAAATTAAAATTTGAGAACAGAGTCTGTTTAAACATATACATTCTTCCAACCCAGATCATTACTATAAAATAACCTTTTCTTCTTATTAAATTAATTTTGTTTGCCAAGTATTAGAAAAAATCAATACTGTGGAAGAATAATCAGAGATGTGTATTTTTTTTTTACTATTCTACTAATGGTTTATTTACTACATAGTGAATTATAGTGATGTAAAAACCAATTGGCAAAATTAAGGCTAAAGTAGTCAAGGTCAATTTATGACTCTTTTTCCCCCAGGTGTGGCTACTTCTTATCTAAGCTTATTGATTATTATATCTTTTGTTTAACAATTAACTATTTATTATCCATGGTTTGTCACAGTCTAATTAATATATATATTATGGTTATTAATAATATTAATTTAGGGTCCTCCTCATTACGGATTTTTCCTATCAAGCATTGACTGTTCATCTACACCCTTTGTTCGTGTGCAGTTTCATATGGACAATAAAGATACATTTGAATGTGATGACGCAAATGCGCACGCACACAGCCGCCGAAACCCGGAAGTGGGGGAGTACTACAGGTCACGGCAAGATTTTGCCGCCAAAGTTAGGATATATAAATGATTTTATTTTTCCAACAGATTGCAGGGGCCTTCGAAGGGACGTGGATGTCCCGAGCGCGCAGCCCATGTACTGTGACGACACTTTCATTGCGGACAACTCTGATTTGATACACAGCAGCAACAACTTTGAGGGAGACACATGAGGACCGCATCTGACACCTTTATTGAGTCCTTTTTTCAGCGCACAGCAGGAATTCAGCAGTTTAAAATCCTCCAATAGACACTTCACAGAGTCTTCATTTTTTCCAGTTGCTACTAAGGCTACAATCCATCTGGATATTCAACTTGGTGAGATCCACCTATTTACTATATAAAGTGCACTATTCTCTGGACTATTGTACATCAGGACATTTACTATCTGTACACTTTTTATTTTTATTTTTTTCTCTTTTATATTTTTTCAATTTTTCATTATTTTTCATATTTCTTTCATTTTTCATTTTTTTCATTTTTTCTTTTTTCTTTTTTCTATGTACATAGAACACCACAGATTCAACTATTATCCATATGGATAGGTTTTCCTTAGATTTGCAAACAGGAATCCTCACAACTGTGTTTATATATCAATTATTTATCTATATAACACCTATGGAGGTTATTTTTGTAAATAGCGATTGACTATATGATGTAATATATTCATTTGATCAAATTATAATCTCACATATTAAGTTATATACCTAGACATCAAAGAATTGAAAATAATAAATTCAATTACAGTACTTCTTTATCTACGGTTGATTATTTTACAACATTGAGTGCGGTATTCATATATATTTTTTGTATGATATTTATGGGGCTTTTTTAGGGATAACCTCGAATACCAGCACCACCTATGTGATTGAGTGCCAGCATAAATTATCTTTTTGTAAAGTAGTCAAGGCTTTATTCACTAAACTGTGAATTGTGATAAATGGAGAAAAAAAAATTACAGGTCAAACTATCTGCTTTGGAAACAAATCTACAATTCAGATATTTTGTTCCAGTTTAGCAATGTTGGCCTAATTTTAATTTTCAGTTCACCTACATTCACTGTTTAGAATAATCTCAATTGTCTTTATACCTATTTTTCCCCCCTAAATAACACATTGAAATCAAACTACGATTGTATCTGATCTGGATAATTTTTCCAAATCAGCTATTGTTATCTAAATACAATTTACAATTTGTTACGAGGTACTGTTTAATGAATAAGCCCCTTTATAAGCTAAAAAGCAGATGTGGTAAGGGGTAAAGGATTGGGTGAATTTCAAATGATATAGGAGAGGAAACATGTGACAAAGAATAATGTGCTACCTCTGTCATCAAAACATTGCCAATTCACAAAATGCATTATGTTATTGTACTGTTGCAAAATATATGCAGAAATATTGTGTAGGTAAAACAAAAGCAAGAGAACCCACTAAAAGTAAATTTTTGTCTAAAGCTGCACAATATATATTTTTTTCCCATTTTTAATGTCCCTTTATAAGTATACATCCCTCTGTCCCCCACTTTGCCAATCTTCTTTATTTATTATGTATTATCTTGTCTTCCGTGTGCTGGATCTCAATATCAGGATGCTGCCATTTTGTTCTCATCTGTCCATGATGCTTACAGTTTGCCTCTCTGTGGAATTCCTTTTACTGATGGATTGTGGGTGAATTAGCTTGGCAAAAGAAGCTGTGCCCATTGCCAAAGATTGCGCTCCCTGTAGGAAAACGAGTCCTTATGTATAACTACGCTATAACTTCAATTATAAGGTGATTTAAAAAAAAAAATGGGGAAAAGAGGGACAATTTAAAAACAATACCTGCAAAGTAACAGTGCCGCTTTAAATATTAGAAGCACTTAGTCATAGGCTGAGAATCAGAATATATAGAAGAAAATGCTAATCAATAACAAAAACAGAAAAATATGTATTTCTTATATGGATTGGGAAATCTGTTTATTCACATCATCCTTAGTTAGTACATGAAAATTAGCATGGAACTATTGATACGACAAATATGTTTCAGCACATCATCATATGCTTAGTTATAAACACCTTCCTTTATTTTTCATGTTCTATTTAAAAAAAAAAAAATATATATATATATATATATATATATATGCATATATATCAATACATATATCAAAACTATCCCATGTTTGTTATAAGAAATGCCAAAAAAGACAATACATTAAAAATTATGAAATAAAAGTAAAATGAAACAATTAAAATTAAAAGCATATATTCAAAGATCTTGCTGCTGTATTGCTGAGATGAGCTGACTGCAACTACAGATAGGTCCCTTCTTTACATGAAATAGACAACAACAATAAGGGACCTCTCATTCTGATTTACTTGGTCTGATCATATCCCATAACCACAAATCAATCAGAGATTTATGGGATAAGAGTTTAACCCCCAATTGCAGTTCAACTTATCACATAGGATGCGTGAAACTGCTGCATAAATTCATAACTGCCATACTGCACTGCTATAATTTCTAACCACAAATCCTCAGATTGTAAGCTTGTTTGAGCAGGCCTATTTTACCTCTATAATTTCCAAGCACTGAGGAATATATTGTTGCTATATAAATGCTAATAATAATATGTGCATAGCCACGATTCTCTTTGGGGAAGACAAATCCTTCCCACTAGTGCATGTGGTAATAAAAGAAATATCCAGGCACACCCGAGGTTTCTTCCAAAAGGCAGTCTCTATTTAAAACAAGGAAGTGGAGACAATGTTTCGGCTCCTCTCTGAGCCTTTATCGAGTTTGTCTCAGAGAGGAGCTGAAACGGTGTCTCCACTTCCTTGTTACAAATAAAGACTGCCTTTTAGAAGAAACCTCAGGTGTGCCTGGATATTTCTTTTTTTTTTTTTCATTTGATGTCTTCAGGCATTGGCCCTCCCTTTTTTGGAGCACCCTGCAGGAAGTATTCCCCCCTTTTTTAGTGTGTGCATTTTACTCTTCTTTGCAAACAGTAGTGCATTGGGTGTCCGGATGCCGTAAGCACAACCTTGAGAAAAAGACAGTGTTTACGAAAATTTCTTTTTAACTCTGTTGGAATTTATTTGAAATTCCATTGCAGTCTAAAATATATATTCTGTAGTTGGCAATAATTGGCAATGTCCCTCCATTCTTTATTGGCTTTTGGTAAGGCTGGTGTGAACAGACATCGTCTTGTGAAATGCTCAATGGATACGTATGGGGCTCTGGTGTGCACAATTATCTCTAAATTCCATATACCCCATGTTGTACTCTCTTGCATGGCAAATTAAATTACAAAGAACTAAAAAAAAAAGGAGCAGGAAAAAAGCTGTACCGAGAAAGGAGAACATAAGGTAAAAAATGTATTTCAGTCTTGCATTATAGTGAAAAGCTGTTAAGTTAAAATCTTTTCTTTGCAGATCAGTTTTACTGTTTGTGATCCTGTGATCTCAGCTCGGTCTGTCAGTTTGGCATGCTACTTTCTTTCTTATAGAACTTATTATGAAAGTATGTCTGTCACATGGACAGTTCCAGGCACACATCAAAGATCTATGGATATTGAATACCTAAAAGTTGATATTCTTTCTAACACCCCCTGAAGCAATCACTTTACTTTCCTGTCTACCTAAATATGAGAGAGAGAGAGAGAGAGAGAGAGAGAGGGGAGGGGGGGTTTGAATAAAAAAAGTTTATTATTCAATTCTAAATTGAGTTAAAATGTGATTGTTCCTCCTGTGCTTTACTTGCTGATTAACATTTCTGTTCTCCTTCCTGTTTACCGTATCCTGCCTTATATCTTCACTAGGATAGTCTGCTTTCTGTCATAGCCTTCCAATTAAACCAGACCATGGTCATTTAATAGCAATTCAGAGATGATGATGAATCAAACTTTCATCCTACCTGAAAAGTTTCCAGGCATCATTATTCATTTTCTTTAGCATATGTTTGTATACCATTCTTTCACTCACTCACTCACTCACTCACAGAAAGCCTATTTCACTCTGTATCTTCTATAGCTAAATAATTATGGACGAGTTTGCTTCTTTCTGCATTAGGTTCTAGATCTACCAACTAAAGGGTTCCAAGCCCTGGCATCTCAATGTTCTAAGCATGCCAATGGGCCACAGCCTTCTCTTTATAAGGATAAATATCATACTATTTAATCAAACAGTACTACATTTGCTTATAATAACATTTTTCTTTATTTAATCGCAGGTCTGATTGGTTGAAACTGGAATTTCATGTTCAAAGAAGTGCCAATACAGGCTTTCATATTTGGAAACAAATTAATTGTATTTAGTTAGGAATACAGATATGTGAAACTGAAAGGGGTTTTTATTTGGTTTATGCAAATGTCTAATTTGCTGCTTAAGAAACTAACATATTTCTTCTAAAATCTGTGAGTCAATACCAGTACGTTCCATTATTATTGCCAGTTTGAAAAATGTAATTCATGTTGTTCTTTACATAGGCTCTGTGCCACAAAATTTTGATGCAATAAAATTACTTTTCATATTTTGAATGATTTACAGTTGTACAAAACATATAAATCAGAAGAGTGAAATGGGTTATGAATGGGTATGTATGTTTTTCCAAAAATGTTGTAAATGAAATACTTTGAAACACGGTAAAAGACCTTCACAGTTCTCCATCTGGAAGCCATAATTGAAGTTAATAACACTTGTTTGGACATAAGGAAACTCTTTGACACCTCTACAATTTTAAAATGAAATGATCAAACAGACATCATCTAGTTGTGAGAAATCAAAGTAGTTGATTCTGGCAATATGTCATTTAACGCATTTGCTTTTAGTTAGGTTTCCATTTCTGTCTAATAACTATCAAAATATGTTCCATTTTATACATTGGGCAAGCTGGATCATGGAGCGTGTTGCTGTAACTCCTCCTTATTAGTTGGTTGGTTGCAATTGTACAATGATAAAGCTGAAGGCCAGAAAAAGCAGCTCAGCCGATCTGGAAAAGGTCTGTTGATCAGAATTAGAATTTGTATGTTGAACTCTAAAGAGGAGTTCAGTATTTAACATTACACCTCTTTGAGCCTTTTTGATATGCGTTTCGATAAACTTAGTCTGGAAATATATTAGCCTTTCACCTCTCTGCAACAGAAATGCTATGTACGTACCAACAGGGGTATAAAAATATATATTGTTATTTGGAGTTATATATAATTTAAACCCACTATCCAGGAAAAGTAATAAATTAATTATTATAAAAATTAAAAAGAAAACACATCAGGGCTACACTCAAAACTCTATGGAATTTATTACCACTGTCCAGGCTCTCCAGACACACACACAACGCTACAAACTCACAGACAGACACACTCACAGCGACACATACTGTAGCAACTACACATACCCACATGCTCATACAGACACACTCAAATTCTACCAAAGACACACACTGCCAAACACACTCACGCTGCCAGTCACAGGCATGCACACAAACTGCACAAAACAAACACACAATGCACTACTGAACATATTGAAATGTATATTGTTCTTAGCTACCGTGCTCTCTGTTTACCTTTTACCATAGGAAGGTAGCTTCTTTTTTGGGTGTTCAAGGTATGCAGGTTGCTCTTGTAACTCCGTATTATGGACGGTTATATTCACAGACAGCTTGCATCATACACTGGGATGTAGTCACCTAATATCAGTGCCTCTCCTCACTGTAGCATAGGTGTGGGAATGGGGAGTTAGTACCATCTAGTAAGGTGACCACTACGCTGTACTTCCAGTTATTTCTCCTCAATGAGACCGCATAAAACTAACGAGCCTCAGAGCTCAGCTAGAACCCGTAGAATATACTATAAATGTGCAACACTTGTACCACTATCAGATGGTGGTACAGGTGTTGCACATATATATCCAACTCTACGTTAGTTCACATATATATAGCATTAGTATATGTATGCCATAAATGATATAATTTAAGATTTACTCTTCCAGCAAAAAGAAAGACATCTGTTTAAATCTAACAAATAATAATTCTAGCTTGCAATAACCATATTTTAATTCAGTAAAATTATATTTTAGTTTTTTTTCTTAAAATACATATCACTATGTTAATGCCTGCTCTTACGCTATAATATTTTGCCAGTAAGTAGAATAAATGTCCGTGTATTACTAAATGTATGTCAACATGTGGAACAAAGTGTTCACCAAAGAGGTGTTCTTGTCAAACAGTTAACCTTATTTTCATGTGACCCCAATCATTTCCCTGTTGATGCGAGTAAAATCACACAACCATTAGCCAAAAAACAGAAATATGATACATTTCATACACCATCTTCGTTCCCTTCTGCCTTTTTAAAAAATATAGAAAACTACTGCCCAATGCAGATAACGGTAATATGATGTCATTTGGGAAACGTATGTTTATTTTTTAAGATCCCGATGGGATTTTTCCATGTGTTAAACAGTTCAGTCTTAGCCTTGATTCATTCATTGGACTTCTTGTTAATAATAAAACAGGTTTCACTTGTCTCAGGAGTTACTTGTAGCAAAATGTATCATCTAGATCAGAAAAGGGTAACACATCCTCTAGCCCAAACAAGTTCAATAAGCAGTATCTTCTATTTCATTTGGTTTGCCGTATTAAATAACAATGTCTCTTGGGATTTCTTTCATTGTGCTCTTGACTGAGACATAGCTGAAGGCTATCAGAGCAATAATCATGTTGTTATGTTAGTGTAATTGAGGTTTTCTAAATCTATATAATATTAAAGTTTCACGTTATTATATCTATAATATAGCAACATAGGAGGATATTAGAGATTTTTGAAGAATTTAGAAATAAGCAACATGTACTTTGGCACTGTCATTTGAGCCGTCTTAATTCAACATCATTGAAGTCACTAAGTGAAATAAGAAGTGATTTGCACCGTATAAATCACAACAGTTAAACCAATGAGTGCTAGTGCACTACAATAAACCAAAGAATACTATACATTGCATTATAGATCTGATAAAAAAATAATGGTGTAACATTGTTGGTGCTCATATGATCATTAGAACTTGGATAATCAATGTAAGCCAGTATTTATTAGAGAATAAATACAGGCTATCAGTCAAAGGACAAGCAGTAGACAGGGAAGGCATGATATTATTTAATATTTAGTAATATGATATCCAATCTTGAGATTTCGAGAAAAGTGAATGTTCCAGGAAAAACTGACAGGAGTATGGAAAGAAAAGGACAAAAGAATTAGGAGCGTCAGGAATTATGTAAAATTACAATACCATACCCTCAGTCTAGCAAGAGGGTTGTGGAAAGTCCTATCCTAGGTTATTTATAAAAATAGATGGAACAGGAAAATAACAGAATACACTCACAAAGAGACACAAAATCGTCTGTTGCTATTATATCTTATCTCTCCAACTGTCTCGGGTTTGCGGGACTGTCCCTAATTTGGGCTTCTGTCCCACCGTGCTGGCCTGGATATCGGAATTTTCCCGAGCATAGATTTAAGGTATTCCCTGCTCTGGTGAGCTGATCAATGTTCAGGGAATTTTCCCCGAACATAGATTCGAGGGATTTCCTCTGCTAGTGAGCTGTTAATGTTTGGAAGAATTCCCCCAAACATAGACCTGCTCTCTATCACATGCTCTCTAGCGCATCCTCAATCACCGACCAATTTGGAAGCCAGTCGGTAAGTGAGGATCATCTGTAGTAACACTCAATGATATAACCGCCGTCACCACCATTTGTACTTTTATTCACAGGTTCACTGGATGAGAAAAACAAAACAAAAACATTGACTATTCAATACTTTGCAAACTCCATGGAATATGATACACATAGAGA